TAGTGATAGAAAACAACTTGTAGCTGATTGAAGCCACCAAAATCTTCTTGCAACAAGCCTTCAAGATCAAAGATTTAGGTGACCTAAAGTTCTTCCTTGGCATGGAGTTCAGCAGATCTACCAAAGGCATTCTGATCAATCAGAGGAAGTATGCATTGGAGATAATATCAGACTTGGGATTGAGTGGAGCAAAACCAGCCTGGACTCTATTAGAGACAAATGTTAAATTGACAGTTACAGAACTAGACAGACTTATGGGGACAACCGAGGACCGAATGCTGGAGGATGTAAGCCAATATCATAGGCTGATTGGAAAGTTGTTATACTTAACCATGTCCAGGACAGACATTGCATTCTCAGTGCAAACTCTCAGCCAGTTCATGTAGTAGCCAAAAAGGTCTCATTGGGATGCAGCTATAAGAGTGATGAAGTATATTAAACTGGAACTAGGTCTAGGAATCTTGTCGAGCAGTCAAAACTCAAGTGAGATCAGTGTCTTTTGTAATGCTGACTGGGCCTCATGTCCTAACACTAGAAAGTTAGTGTCAGGATATCTAGTCAAATTTGGAGAGTCTCCAATCTCGTGGAAATCAAAGAAGCAGAATACAATTTCTAAGAGTTCAACAGAAGCTGAATATAGAAGCATGGCAAGTGGAGTTTCAGAGGTAGTATGGTTGACAACATTGCTAAGGGAGTTAGGAGCAGAAGTGAAATTTCTATTACACATATATAGTGACAGCAGGGCTGCAATGCAAATAGCAGCAAATCTTGTGTTTCACGAAAGAACAAAGCATATAGAGATCGATTATCACTTTATTAGACAGAAGATACAAGAAGGACTAGTAAAGACTCAGTACATCCCTTCAAAGGAGCAACTAGCAGATATCCTAACTAAAGGATTAGGAAGACCACATCATGAGTATCTAGTTGGCAAGTTGGGAGTTCTCAATGTCTTTGCACCCACCAACTTGAGAGGGAGTGATGAAATGGGGATTATATGAGCTGTTAGTAAGGCTGTATTGTGGTCTGGGCCCAAGCGGTCCTAGGAGCCCACTGTGGGCTAGTCCAATATGGAGAGACCGCGAGCCCGGGACCGTTTAGCCCTGGACCGGCTGGCAAGTCTGGGCCGGTTCAACCGGGCTTAATGGGCCCAATGGCTATTTTTCAAATTGGCCAACGGCTGGATGTTTAAAAACTAGCCGTTAGCCTGCCAATTTAGCCATTTGGCTTTTTTTTAAAATAGTCATTTGTCTCCCAAACTTTATTTTAACCCCAAACTTTTTATAATTACACTTTTCCCTATTCTCAACTATAAATACCCTCTCATTCTTTTATTTTTACTCACAAAATGATCAATATCTCTCTAATTTTCTTCTATAATTGCTTACTTTATTATTGCAGTTTGTGAAAAAATGTGAAGTTGGTGAATTAAAGTATACAAGTCTTCAACGATATACAATTTTCAAGAAGTTGTACGTCAATTCGGTAAACTCGTTCCAACTCTTAAGTTTTAATATTATAGTTTTGTTTGTTTTAGTTTGTATAATTATAATTAATATGGCCTTTTCTTTGAAAAAAATATTTGGTGGTAAGGGACAATCTAAAATTGGTGAATCTAGTGACCAAGCTACTACTGCTCCCTCGGCTCCCCAACCCAGTCCTGTTATCCGTCCTCCTCCACCTGTTATTCTTGATAGTGATAACCCTTGTTTTTAATTTACCGATCGTCAATTTTACCATGATATTGCACCAGGTCAACAATTAAATGATGAATATATGAATGCTCTTTATGGTAATTCAACTATCGATGAAAATGATGATTTAGGTGAAACCCAACCGGATTTAGACGATACACCTACTAGTCATGTTGTTAACCCAACTGATAATAATCCAAATGATGCCCCGCCTGACCCTCCTGTAGTAACCCCTACTTTTAATAGACAACCTTCTAGACGGTGCGAAACATCTCTTTTTTGGTACTTTTTTTATTCAATTAAGAGATCAAAATAAGGCTAAGTGTAAAACTTGTGGGACTTTGATGGCTCATAAATTTACTGGAGACCGTAGCGGTACGGGTAGTTTGACTAGACACATAAAGACACACCCTAAAGATAAAGCTAGATTTCTTCAAATGAAAGCTGCGCAAGAGGGGATAAGTGTAGGTACTCAGGTTAACTCTAATACCGGGTCAAATCTAGTTCAACCAGGAATTAATACTGTTACCAGTGGTATTTTATATTACGATCCAAATAAAGATCGTGAAGAATTGACAAAAATGGTTACTGTTATATGCTTACCCTATAGTTTTCTTTCTAACCCTCACTTTGTGCATTATATTAGAAGAGTTTTTAATCCTACTTATAAAGGATGGTCTCACACAACCATAAAGAGCAATATTATAAATATAAACATGAATATGAATAATATTTGCACTATTTATTTACTCATATAAATTGTCGCGTTGCTATTACTACCGATATTGGTAGAAGTGGTAATAACTGTGATTATCTTACTGTTACCACTCATTGGATTGATAAGGAATGGATAATGCAAAAGTGCATTATTGCTTATAGAATAATTAATTCACGTCACACAGGTAAGTTTATTGCTAACACAGTTGCAGATATTTGTAGATATTTTTGCATTAGAGATAAAATAATGTCAGTTTCAATGGATAATGCTTCTAGTAACACTAATGTCATAGGCTTGCTTACAACTACACTAAATCCTGCATTTAGTAATTTTTTCCATGTTAGATGTATTTGTCATATTTACTATTTAATCATCGGTGATGGTATGAAAATTTTAAATGTTGAAATTGAAAAGGTTAAAATGGCTCTTAATTGGCTTTTTTATTCAAACCGTAGAAGTAGACTTAGAGAATATTTTAAAAAATGTGATGAATTTGGCCTTAGAGAAAGAAAGGTTCCTAAACCTTGTCCGACTAGATGGAATTACATGTATGAAAGTTTAGTTGTTGCATATGAATATAGAAACCCAATAAACACAACGTTTAATGCTCGTGTTGGTGGTACTGATGATGATGAGAACCTTACAAATCAGGATTGGACTAATGTTAAAATTCTTGTAGGATTTTTAGAACAATTTCATATTTCTACAAATGAATTATCTGGGCAATATTATCCTACTATTTTTAACTGTTTAGTTTATATTGCAGAACTTGCAAATTTGTTTACTCAATTTTCAGAGGGTGGGGTAATTTATCAACTTGCTATTGATTCTATGAAAGATAAGTTTAAAAAATATTTTTTCCCTATCCCCCATATTTATGGTGTTGCTGCCATGTTAAATCCTACCATAAAATTAGGAGGTCCTCACTTTTGGTATACAAATATTTATAAGGCTTTATCACTTTCAGATGAGAAATTTGCTACACTTGCAGATGCAAAAGCCTCAATTAAAATAAATGCTCAAACAATTTATAATGATTATCAACTTGCCTTAGATCATGCTAGACCAAATGTTCCAACTCCTACATCGTATAGTTCACAATCATCTAAAAGAACTGAGGGCATAAAATCACTTAGTTCTTGGACGGGGTTCAGAGGTTCTCAAGGTGATAATATTGGTGATAGTTCACAACTAAATGATATTGCCATTTTTTGCGGGGAGGAAGACTAAGAAAGATATTGTCATTTTTTGTTAATGTTGTAATAATAAAAATTATATGGCATTCCCTTGAATATTTCTTTACAATTTTTTTATGTTTAAATTTGAATTAGAAGATTTAAGTCACAATTATATAATATAATTTATAAGAAATTGCCTTAGATAAAAAAATTTCAAAAAAATAAATAGCCTGGAACACTTAGGCCCGTGGGCCCGACCCACTTAGCCATGGCCCATGTGGGCTTAGGCCCACAGTGGGCCGGTTCCACCCTCCAGGACCGTTAAGCCCATGACCGTTTGGCCCGGCCCGTTTAGCCCATTTACGCCCGGGCCTGGACTACATAACAGCCTTAGCCGTTAGTGATAGGTTAGTTGGCTATTAATGTTAATGTTGATATGCAGGGAGAGATTATTATTCGTATAATTAGTTAATTAGCACACATGAGTGTACACGTGTGTATTAGTTAGGCGGTTAGAAGGATATGTGTATATGTTAGGGAATGTAAGTAAGACTCTATTTTTTATTTTCTACTGAAATACAGAGTTGAGCTCTTCTTTCTCTTCTCTCTCAATTCTGCTCTCTAGGGCTTCACATTGTACTTGTGTGATTTGCTCAAGATCAGTAAGCTAACAATGCCTCATGTAGAAACTACTTTGATAATGAAATTGTCTGGATGAGTTTTGTGTGTGCTATACGCTATCAATAATAAGTTACGTGATTTCTTAGATATATTGAGACTTGCTTAGAAAGTGAAACCAAAATTAAAAATGGGAAACAGAAACTTTGAAGGGCATTGCTTCATGTTGCTTCGAAATGAATATACTCGGAATTCATTTTTTGCATATGCATACCAAATGTTTCTTTCAAAATGTGACCGACCAAAATCAGAATTATGCAATTGGCTGTCCAACAAAGAAGAAGATGAAGATATTATTAGCTAGCATAGCACATGACCAAGCTAGCCTACAAATATTTACGAGTTTTACACTCTTTTGGATTCTTACACTCTTTTGAAATCTGTCATTGATACTTGCATTAGGATAGCTAGGCTGCCCAATGGGATTGTTACTCTTCCCAAAATCCTATGTGAACTTAGAATGCTTCGTACACCTTTTAACTTGGGGGCGGCAGGTAGAAGGATCCTTTTCCTCTGAAAAACATAAGGAAATGGATATACATCGGATAGGGCTCGACTAGGGATTCAAGAATAGGGTATAGGGGATCCTGTCTTTAAGATTCAGACAAAAAGAGTTCACACACTTTTATGCATGAACCTCCGTTTAAGTGCTGCATACAAGTTCCAGTTAGGATGATTTACGAGGTGGTTCCTATGTTAGAGCCTCCAGAAACAAGAAACAAGTTTTCATACCTGTTGCCTACAGCAGCATGGAGATTGATAATCAACTTTTCTTCGTCGGGGGAAAATCTTCCCCTTCTTATATCAGGCCTCAAATAGTTGATCCACCTCAACCGACAGCTCTTCCCACTCCTTTGTAGACCTGAAATCAAATACACCAAATGCTTTCAGTCCGGCAAACGTGGTTTTTACACATGGAAATTCATATCATGTACAAAAATAAGAGATCAACAATTACATATTCTTTGCATAAATGTCAGTAAAGTAGTGTTAAGAAGTAATAAGAAGAGAGGACCAGCTTTGTCAGGAACTTCACTCCAACAGCCATAGCCATGAGTGGTAATGTATGTGATGAGCTTTTCATCTTCTTCAGGAGACCAAAGCCCTCTCTTAACCTTTTGCTGGTTGCAGCACGTATGCTGCCCCATTTTTTTTTTCAGTATTTTGTTTTCTTGCAGTCTCTTGTGATTTGGTAAAAGCAAGTTCTATCTCCCTCCCTTCCTTTAAATACTCCATGAATGGATTTCAAAAAAATATATAAGCCGACATTAGAATTGTGGATAGGGCCCTCGCTGCTTCGCCTCTTGTTTCCCCATCTAACCCTGAAATGACGTTCCATCAACTTCCTGTATCAATTTTTTTTTCCAATTCATCAATTATTTCATCATCTACGTACATGCAATGTGTATTATCATGCCGCCATGTTAGCAGAATCTCTCTCCCCTCTTTCAAAATATATACTGATCCCCATATATTACATTAGATGATATTGTAATATATTTTTACCGCTTAACCATGGTTTTTGTTTCGTAAAAAGAAACTGCAAAGATTAAATGTTCAAAATCTTGGCCAACGTTTTGTTCGGTTTCTAGTCCTAGCTAGTTAGGAATTCCCTGAACAAATCTGTTTATTCAGATAATCAAAGAAATCGAGGAGATATGCTATATTGATTCGCAAATTAAAATACTGATTATTACTCCCAGCAATCTGATGTATGAACGAATTTGAAACTGTATGATTTTATAAAGATGTTAAAAGGAAAAACCAAGTCGGACTACTGGCAACTTGACCAACTAATTAGGATCAAAATAATCAGGTGTCATGCGGAAGCTAGTAAAACAAATATTGAACGACGACAAATCAGACAACAAAAATGAAATTACTTAAAAAGACACAAACATTTAACGTGGTTCAATCAATTGATCTACATCCAAATGCGGAGATGACAATCCACTATATAAAAGAGAGTGCAAAATACCGAGAAAACAACCTCACAAAGAGGCAAACACAAGTGACATGCCAACACTCCCCCCTCCCCCCTAAACAAAACTCTCAAACCCCTTATGGCTACATTGTGGATGCTGTTAAATGAGAAGGGAAGATCATTAATTCATAGAAGTTAAAACTTTTTCCTCTGATAAAAAGAATTAGCCAAATATGAAAGAATTATATTTTCCTTTTCCTAAAAGGTAAAAGCAATTATGCTAAATATGTTTCACTTCCTTCTAGGAATAGAAAAACCAAATGTAGTAAGAAAATCAGGACAAACACTTAACACTAACTGGCTCAATACTTCAACCATACTAGCTGTCACAGGGGCGTTTTCAGTCCGCCGAAAATGCTGCCCGCTGTGCGGCAGTCAAGTCCCCACTTGACCTCAGCCTTACCCAATTTTCGTTCGCTTTCGAGGTTCAACACTTAGAATAGATTTAAGGCAACAGGAATAAACAAAGGCAACACAGATTTACGGGAACCCTTTCCCAATCTTTTATAATAAATCAATTACAAAGGAAAATCTCGAGTTAGGCAAGGTGCTGCCACCCTTGGCAGGCACCAACTCACAAAAATGGCCTACACTTGCACGAATCTGCCCTATAAAAGCCCCTGCTTAAGGCCGCTCGTGCTGCCACTCGTTTGGCAAGGCAATAGCACATATTTTGCCATGCTCAAGCCATAAAATAGACAACCCTATGCCTATCTTTCAGACCATTTCCCTCCCTAGGTACTTAGCCCGTTTTTAAGGCTGCTAACACACACATATATATAGTGTAGTCAGCCCAAAAGTGTTTCCTATGTTCAGTTGACATCCCCCAACTGATAGGACATGATCCCCATGATCAAAACGTGTGGAACATGATAGAACATGCTCCAAAAACATGCAAAGACTTAGCCATATAATCAGCAACTCCTGGACATGGGTAGTTGTAACCGTCCAACTGCATCATGTGCACCACATGTGCGCATTTTCTTGGCCAACTGCTGCCCAATTTCGTGTCTAGTCTTGGACCGGCCCAATGCCATTATATCCAGCTGCATTGCGCCAAGCTCCAACGCCATTATATCCAGCTGCGTTGTGCTATAAATTTCCTTGACATCGCCACGAACTTGTTTGTTGCACGCCGCCTGCTGTCACAGTTGATTGTTCTTGTCAAGTCGCCCCTACTTGATCAAGTCTGCCCGTTGTCAATGCTGATTTTAGCATCAAGTCACCAAGCCTTGATGCCCTTCCCTTTGCCAAGTCGTTTGCCCACAAATAACTTAGGTGCCAGCCCGCTCACCTAAGTCATGGCAACATCACATTGCCAATGCCAATGCCTTGGCACTAAGCTGCCTCACTTTAGCGCCGAGGTCTTTCCCGTTTAGCCTTATCAAGCTCCCATTCAGCCCGCCTAGTTCCGTCAAGGTCTTGGCCTTGCTTGTACGCAGCCCACTCTTGCTTTGGTGTAGTCCGTCACACCTTAGCCCTAATACAAGTGTAGTCCGTCTCACTTGCCTTAGCAACAGTTTGTTGCCATCGACAACACTCCCGCATTGTCTTGCATGTTGATTTTCCCCCGCACATAGGCCAATGGCAAGACCATCATGCCAAAATCCTCGCCACTGCCGTGCCGCTTGCCGATCAGCTTTGTTAGGGGTCTAACACTAGCCTTACCAATAGAAATATTTGTATTATTTCTAATGTTGTGCTGCATATCATGTATAAGTATTGTTAACTCCAGCGTTGATTTTCAAAAAATAATCCAAATATGATTGTATCGAAAATCAATTAACTCACGAGTCACGACCTTGCTTTCTCGACAAGAATTAATTTTAAGACCTGGGCAAACGTCACTAGGTAGCATGATTTACGTCATTAGATTTCATTTCTTTCAAATTTACATCATTTTCTTGATGAGATTCCGATCCTAGACTTTTTCCCTTCATTTCATTTTCTCCAAATTTCATCAGATTGTTGCTTCCTATGAAAGGCATTCAGTTTTCAGGCACTCATTCTTTTAGCCACTAAATATATCTAAAGCTCTTGTAAAACATTGTTGGTAGTTGTATCATATGTTAGCCCTTATTAATGTCTTTTAAGTACAAATATATTTCAACACACACTCTTTTGAAGAAAACCCAAATATATCTTCTCCTCACTACGTCTTCTTTCATTATTTTTTTTAAATTTGCGATGCCGATATAGACAACTATAAACATGAATACATGAACCCACACTTTCAGTATATTAATTAATGGCGTTTCATTTTGGTCTTTTTTTGGACCTTCGTCTTAAATTTTTTATTAGCTTTTGTCCACCTCTTATGGTGCTAAAATGGACAAACTCATACCAATAATTAAGAATTTGGACCTAACTCTACGTCAAAAACTAAACTAACTTAATAAGATAGTGAATCTTTTGTTAGTTACTCTATTCGAAAACATAAATAAAATAGAATAGACAGAACTTTAGTATTCCGAGCCCACTTGTGTCCTTATAAGGAGTTTAATCCCCTCAAAATATTCGAGGTATTGGATTATTTCATCCCAGAAATAGATATACCTTTGATGGAATTGCGATAGTATTTCAAATTCCAGCAAACTTTAATTTGGATGTTAGGACAGGAACAAATCACACGACACAAACTCTTTTTCTTATTTTGGAAATATACAGAAGAGTTCGAAAAATCGATGGGAAATCTGAGGCCACACCTCTGTATTTATAGCCAACGAACGGGTGAGAAGAAAAGGTGTAATTCGAAGCAGGTGTCATTTCTGGAAAAAACAAAACAGAAACCACTTAATTTGTATTTGCAACTGTCAAGAAAATTAAACTTCCTTAATCAGCAACAATTAACTTGTCCCTAATGAAGGATTAGTTAGAGAGTCAAAATGGAAACGTACTCCAATATATTCGTATGGAAATTAAGACATATTTGCATGTGTAAATACGTAGAAATTTTATAAACTGTCAAAATAATAGGCAAATATACTAATGAAAAAGAGAGGATCTTGTTGGGGTCATGACGCAAATCATTCACCAATATCATAGGAAGACACCAGACAAGTTACATTTGCTTGAGATAGATCGGAAGCTGAATTTGAAAGTAATAAGCAAATCATTAAGAAAATAAAAAGATGCTTATTAGGAGGAGGTGAAAAGAAAAGAATGATTAAATTTTAGCTTTAAGGGAAGGGGGTGTGGCCTACCTTGAGATTAAGAAATGATAAGTGAGAAAAGACATGAGGGTTTGCCATATTAGGGCATGGTTGAGTCGTACTACGTTAGAGATGAATTCAGAATTTAAATTTGAAGGTTTGATCATTGTAACTTATTGTTCTTTTAAAATTATGGATTTAAGTTTAGTATTTATTAATTTTGGAAATTTTTTACATTATGTTCGAATGATGTGTCAAAATTAATGAGTTCGGTTGACCCGGCAGTACAAAGGCGGCATCCGCCGCTGTGGATGGTATGTCTCTACTAGAGGTGACAAAACTAACCCAAACCCATTTGACCCGCCCAAGTTTAAATGGGTTTGGGCAAGAACGATTTTGAAATGGGTTGTCTTGGGCTAGCCTAAGTTAATCCATTAAAAATCATCAGTCCAAATACAACCCAAACGATCCATTTGTTACCCATAATAATCTCTACCACTAGCTCTTTTACTTAAATATGGACTTTATGATATTAGGCTTACTGCTTTTAACAGTAATTAATCTGTTTTATTATAATATCAATAATAGTAGTAGTAAATAAACTATCACAAATATTGGTCTCACATCAGACCCGTCGAAATCCTTCCTATGGATCCTTATATATTTCCATCATTAGAAGTATTCCCTGTAGCCTGTTGCTCTCATTCTAGACCTTATTTCTTTCTTTGAAACCTTCTATTTTAATATAGGTATGGTTCACAACTAATTCCACTTATGCTCATAGAACTCTTAAAGTGGAATGTACAACACAGGAAATTATGATCTTGCCTTTGCTGGTAGAGATGTTGGTGCCCTACTGATTATGAATTTTTGATAATAAAAATATGATCTTAGAGGAACTTTCCAAAGCACTAGACTGTTTCATTTAGGACAAGTACAAATTAAACGTCTGATTTAAAGAAAATGTTACTAACTAGTTGAATGAGCGGCGCCAATATATTCCAATACTGAATG